TGCAATCCATTACATAAATTTGTATTGACCGATTATAACAGGTTTTTAGGTTAACTTGCACTTCTGGTTGATTGATAATGTTGAACCGAAATGGTCAATCATTACTGACTTGCCGATTCTTAGTATGGATTCTTCGATGATGTTTAAGGTGGATTAACGTGATGGTGATCAACAGTGGAATCTAGGATGCGCATTTCATCTTATCTGGGACTCGTCATATGGATTTACCGGCATTCTTCGTAAATGCTAATGTTTCCACTGAGAAGTGAACCCTGCAGCCATCATTTCAAACGCCAAAGCACTATCCACAAGACCGCAGGATTTATTTCCCATGACATCATACTTCAGTTAATCAATTTTTTCTTCAACAAAATGAGTAAAGTTTATATTTTCTAAGTGACAATGACTTACTTTGAAAATATACGTACTCCATAGTATGAACAGAGGGAAATTTGAATCCCTTCATTTGTTCCAGTATTTATCTTACGGGAATAACAAAGTCTACATCATGTATTATTCAAATGTTGTCTGGTTCGTGAGGAGTTTCAGTCGACTTGTGAATTAATTATTAGTAGGCTCATGGCTTAAAGTTACAATAAGGAATGCAAATTTTCCTGTAGACCACTTAGCTTTCGCTTACTGTAGGTAGCCAACCTGAAGGAGGATGTTTCCTTATTTAAGTTTCATGGCAGGTGAATGAGAAGATAGAACATCAAGTTATTTGAGTACAAGAAGCGAACGAAGTAACCTGCTTACTTCATACTTTTTCACTGAAAATGGAACCCTAAGAGCGTAAATCTGAATACATCTCAGAAGGGCATATAAAAGCCTGACTTTGTAGTCTTAATTTTATTAGCAGTGGGACTGTTGTAGAACAAAAACTTTGAAGCTATGATAAATAATTAATTCTCACTGATATAGATGATTTACAACTCAAAACAAGTTGATATTAATGGCTTGATGGTTTCTGAGAGAATAGGAGTATTTCACTTCACTCTGGAAAGTGGATTTTAATGGTGTTGACTAGCCTGATGATGAGCTGTTCACGATATAATATCAAAACTGACAAAATTCCCTGGCAATTAATCACACTACATTTAATTAAAAATATGGTTCGTTCTCTTTTACTTACTCATCAGTAGAGTACCTTTCTCGTATTCTTTAGGGCATGTGGATACCTATAACCACATGTATCACTTTTTAAATTTGAGCTTCGAAGTTTCAGTAGCAGTGGTTTTATTTTTACGGGGTTGGGTTGTTATCCTCACTTCCAACCTTCCCTCTTTATCGACCTTACTACCGGCTTAGAGAAGTTTAGGAGTGCTCACTAGTGACTTGCTACAGGACAGAGTTTCCTGGAGTTCTAGTGAGAAGTCATGACCACTGAGGTCCATCCAGTCAGATGTGAGGATGGATTTCCCACTGATGACATTGGGTGTTGCCAGTCGCGCTAAATCACGAATTGGTAGAAGTTAGAATTCATGGGCTGACCACTGAATAGGGTCCCAGTGGCTGAATGGTATACGAGCTTGCTCACCTTGTAACCGAAAGGTACTGGGTTCGAACCCTGGTGATGGGTGCGTACTACTGATGATTCCCGAAGAGCTAGGATGAAACAGCTATCCAGTACTCCCTGTTGGTTTTAAATGGTTCTCTAACTGATATCAATCCATGATCAACTCGTAAAAATATACGTATATATACTGTAATGTTCAGGATTAAATACAGCTGAAATACGGTGATAGGCATCATGAATGCATAGCATAGTGTAAAAAAGTATTGCTATTAGTTTTCTGAAATTTATACATACTATTAAGTGTATATAATATCATGTTGCACCATTTTTATTGGATTATTCAGAATACTGAAGTGGAAACAAACAATATATTTATATCATTTTATTTTATAATTTTTTCCCAGTAAAATATAAAACTAGATCGTAATATGAATATCGTAGAGATTTAACTTAAAACACGTTGTGTATGATAGTCAGTAAAAACTCAAAGCTTTACCTTCATTGATGTTATTTATAATGTTTTGTCTCGTTTATTTATTTATTTTTAAACTATAATGACTAATCTTACCTGAAAGATAGAAGTGATGTTCTTCTAAAGAAGTATAGTATAGTATAGTACGAGGAACAGCTTAATTTGTTGTTGTGTCAAGATGTACTTACTGTTGAGTTCATATGGTATGAAAAAAAGTTTAAAATAATAATCATAAAATATCTAATTTTCTAATTGGTTAATAAGAAAGGAATTCGGTTTCGTAGTATTCACCACATTTTCTTAATCCCCTGGCGAGTGACCCACTAAGAACAGACTAGCGTATTTTCCTATTCCGGTGGTTTTCTTAATCAACCATAATACTGATAAGTTGAGAAACTGAGAGCAGTCCTTTAAGGGATAAATCTAAATGGAACTCATCTTACGCATATGAATCCATGATAATGTACCTTAGGCCTTGAATTGCACACCAGTGGTGAACTTGGCTTCAAAAAAGCGAAAGGGCTGTCTGGTGTTTGAGCACTTCTGTACGGCTAACAGATACTACTACTGGCTAGTGTGAGTGGTAACCATCTACGCATATCATTACATAGGTATGTGACAGAATGCATTTATGCTTGCTTCCTTGACTGCCATTTATGGTATTCAGCTTCCAAAGGCAACTATGCAGAAATTTCACCTCCTCGATCTGCGTCAATTGTAAACCATGAACCAGTTTACGAATAGCGCGAATTTGATTGAATATTTGCGCTTGTTTGCATAATTCAACTTTACCTAACAAGTAATCTCTGTGTTAATTACCATTTAGTTAACGGATAAAATAAAATACAAATATGAATCAACTAGTGGTCAAGTTATGAACCGGTTGCATTTGAATGAGGGTTATTCAGAAACATTTATTATTTTGATGGAAATCACTTTCCTTTTTATCCAATATTTAGTTGTTTATTTTTCTATTCACAATTGTAAAACAACAATCCGGTAACAAGTGAATTTCTTTATGCATAAATTATTGGCGTTGGTCGATTTAAACAGAATAAGAATTAAACATTCCAAAATAGGTAAGGTGGATATTTCACTTCTTTTACGATAAGCAGTTCAACTTGCGGCTTACTGTGTTGTTGGCTTGGATTGTTTTACTTTATCTACCTGATATATTCAGATGACTAGCCTATTGTGTACTCTGTATAATCTACGGAATTCTACGTCGAATCACTGTTGAGCCATATTTATCCAAATATACTGTCAGCTTTTCTTATATATGCGTTATCCAATAACTCAAGAAGGAATAAAGTCTCCCATTAGCCTTCATAGTACAAAAGTTAGAGCCCTCCTAAGCAGTTTTTGCTGTTCCGCTTAAGAAATTATAAGAAATAGCATCCCACTATTTGATATATTCTATAATACGTCTTCAAATTGTGAAAATTTGTTTATTTGTCTAAAAGCTGTAGGAAATTAAAAGCTGTGACACAGTTCCGAACGTAAAATTTTTAAATGTCAGCTCATGATGAAATCCTGTAACCAACCAATCAAATCCCTACAAACCAATACTTGAATATAAATGAGGTGCTCACTAGCGACTTGCCCTATTCAGGTAGGTAGTTACCTGGGGTTCTAATGAGAAATCGTGACCAGTAGGGTGCAGCTGGTCGGGTGTGAGGACAAATACTCACCGAAGACATTGGCTAGGGGTCGCGCTATGTCGTGAATTGGCAGAAGTTAGAATTCATCGACTGGCCATTGGATCGAGTCCCAGTGGCTTAATGGTCTACTAGCTCACTCGCCTTGTAACCAGAAGGTCCTTGGATCGAACTTCACAGTGTGGGTGCTTACTGTGAAGAGTCCCAAACTAGGACGAAACAGCTGTCCAGTACTCCCAGGTTTTCCTATGGTTCTCTAACTAATGTCAGCTCATGATGCAATCCTGTAACCAATCAAATGCCTCCAAACCAACACTTGAAAGTTTTAAATGTTGGCCCATTATGGCTTTTTTAAGGGTAAGGTCTTAACTTCATAAGTATGAGACTAAGTTAACTTGTTTCTATAGATCTAGATCCGGTTAACGATAATTTTTTTCCTTCACGTTCCCAGTGGAACATAGGGCTTCAAGCTAGAGGCTTGAAGTTTCTGTAGCAGTGTTTACTTTTACAGGATGAGGTTGCTAGCCTCATGCCCAACCTTTCCTCTTTACCGGCTTTTTATTACTGATTTGGCGAGGTAAAGGAGTGCGTCGGTTGGGGATCGAACGCCAGGCCATGTGCATGGTCGGCGAGCGTCCTAACCACTGTGCCACCAACGCGGTTAACGATAAAGTCTTATTGAAACAGGAAAAAAGACATAAAGTTTAGGATGAGGATGACGCCTGTTTAGTTTTCTTTGAACTTAGTATTCAACCTTGAACGTTTCAATATCAAACTAGATAGCTTCGTAAATCTCACTTTATAAAGAAATGAGTCAGCTGTTGATGAATTCATCAATCAGTGGTGATAAAATTTCCATAATCAAATATTATAACTTTGAAAATGCCATCTTTCTCTTAATAAAATTGGAAAAGGGAGAAAAACATTGAAGCAGAATAACATGGATTTAATTATTTATGAATTTGTAACAGAGTTCTATACAACGTATTCTGTAAATTTATACACCTTATATAGCACTTTATAGTGTGTATAAGTAATATGAATATGTATGTGGAGTTGATTTAACATGGGCACGGTTATAAACCAGTACATATTACTGAATAATATTAGTAGTTGGAGGTCAGTCACATCAAACAGTAGTGGTTACATCTATATCAAGTGATCGAAATAAACAGTGGACGGTTGTTTAGATCGTTTGGGATAATAAAGATTTTATTATAAATCTTGGTGAATATACTTTACTGTCATGGGACAGTTGTTATGGTTTCATGACCAACAGACATTATTTTTACAAGATTCTACAATATGTGATAAAAATGCGAACATATGAGTTCCTCACTAGTACTAGACCTACCTTCAATCATGGACGAAGCACCACCGCCTCGTGCTAATGTTGTCATTGATCCGACATGTGAATCAAGATCTTGAACACCTCTACCTATTGGTTGTAAGGTGATTGTTTCAAACTCTTCAAAAGCTTCAGTGTTTCCAAGAGATCTCTGAAAAATAATGATCAGTAGGGATTTAACTTTATAGTAGGAATGATGTGATGAATAGACATTCTGTTCAAATCACATGGCAAAAGGATTAGCTTAAGAAAATAAAAAAAGTAAATCAGGCTGAGTAACATGCGCGCAAAATGAATTCATTTGCATAAAGCTATTAACACGGGTAACTTCAACGCTTCACAACTTCATGCATTCTGAGACAGAAGGCTTAAGAGAATTACACTGAACATACCTTTTGAATTAACTCCTTTCGACCGATTTCCTGAATACAATATGTATATTGAAGACACAAATGATAACAAAAGGGAAATACCCTCGTAGTCATTTAATAAAATTCAACATTTTCAATTTACACGGTTCAAGGAGAAAATTTCCCAAAGGCTTCCTTTGAAAGCCAGAAGTGTTCAGAACACACTATTTTAGGGACCTACTTGATACTACTTATGGTACTGGAGGAAGTGGGAGGAACAACACGATGGTATGTAGCACTGATTGGCACTATTAGTACATACTATCATCCTAGCCTAGCCTTCTGCATTCCAAAGAACAAGAAATGGAAGTGAAGCCAAATGAGAATGTATTTGAAAGAAAGCAAACGTTTTTGGTGTTCAAAATATGACTGCGTTATCTTAGAACCTTAAAGCCTACGGAAAAATTCAACATGTTTCAAGATAGTACAACAATGTCTACTGTCTTTCACTTCATATCACTGATTTGTTATTCCAGACCATATATCACGATTCTTCATAGCCAGGAAGAGATTAGAGAAAGTCTTGTACACCCATTTATTTAAGTTAATTTGTATTTATAGTTGAGTAGTTATATTGGGCCGAAATGCTCAATCTCTTTTGCAAGAAAGGAGAAACTGGTAGTCCAGTGGGTAACGCTTTGTCGTTTGGACTGGTGGATGCTTTGTTCGTGTCTCAGTAGGAATACTATCACTCGCTAGGGATGCGGGTAGGAATGCGCATTCTCGATTCCACTGGTAGTGACTACAACCCAAATAACATCTCTACAAAACTTGCAACTTAAGGGAAAATGAAGACTTTCTAACCTGATAAAGCACCAAAATACTGATATAATAAACTTCTGTGTAAGTTACTGAGTTACTGATTCACGTACAAGTGCTTTCACACATTTGTTTACTAACTTTACCCTCGTTATATATATATATATATATATATATATATATTAATTAGAATAAGCAAAAGTCTGAGTGACTGATGCTTGATTTATCTATTCCTCTTCATTCAGTTAGTCGAAACGAACAAAGTTTGTAAACACAGTAATTAAATTGACAGTCGTGATAGGAGACAGGCTTTTCATTAAAATGATTTGGTAGCACAAAAAGTTAAGGGTGTTACAACTCAGGACTGGAATACTGATTGTTTAGTGGAGCAAACTCCAAAAAAATGATCCTAATTCGAAAACAGTCAACGCCTGCAATGGACAGACACAATATCTGAGGAGAGTTAGGCTTACAACGGAACTTCAAACACCCCTAAGATGACAAATCAGAGGAGATATAAAAAACTTCAGATCCACAAACATCAAAAGTAAGATCACTAGTAATTCCTTTAATTGATCGTATATTTCACAAACAAAAGCTGAATGGCCCATATAAAAAAATATATTCTCTGTTGAAATACACAAGATGTGACTCAAGCGTAGTAGATAAGATGACAGATAAATCAGTGGTAAAATCGTTCATTCACGAACCAAGAGTTAATAGATTACGAAAAGTGTATGAGTTGAAGGTCGAAGCAAATGTATAGAAATCACCAATACGTGATTCAGCCGATAGATCACTACTCCTACATCAATATTCATGATAAATACACCTGCGTTACATCATTTTGAAGGGCTACTAAAGACGATGTGTGCATCGAGGTTTAAAGCTTTATTTATGAGAAGTCAAGCTTGGTATGAGGGAAACATCCAGAAATGCAGCTTTTTATACTGCCTACTAAATCAGGCTTAACTATGATCATAGTATCAACTGTTGTGCGATTAAAAAGATAGTCGACCTTATCCTAGTATTTCAAATTTCACCTAAACTAATTCTAATTCTGGGAGTACTGGACAGCTGTTTCGTCCTAGTTTGGGACTCTTCATCAGTACGCACCCACCGGGGTTTGAACCCAGGACCTTCTGGTTACAAGGCGAGCTCGTAGACCATTAAGCCACTGGGACCTGATCCAATGGCCAGTCCATGAATTCTAACTTCTGCCAATTCATGACATAGCGCGATCCCTAGCCAATGTCTTCGGCGAGTATTTGTCCTCACATCCGACCTGCTGCACCAAACTAGGACGAAACAGCTGTCCAGTACTCCCAGGTTTTCCAATGGTTCTCTAACCAATGTCAGCTCATGATGAAATCCTGTAACCAATCAAATCCCTACAAACCAACACTTGAATAATTCTAATTCGTCGTGGCTTCTCAACCTGGTTCGTCTTTTGAGTTGTATCTCACAGAAGGACTGGGCATTTTCATCCACGTATAAAAACATATAACGAACTAAATGGATTCAGGTAATCGACAGGAAGCCCTTGACCTGGGTTTCGTATTTGTTGGGCCTCTTCAGTATGGTGTGTTTGTAACCTCGAAGGAAGTGGTGGCCTCTCTTAATATCATTTCAGGGTTCACTGAGATGGTAAGTCACTTAACTTGGTGACCATACTGGAAACTGGACCGTTAGAATTAAGTTTGCCTCAACTACAAAGGCTAGACACATGATAATGGTTACCTCCTAGTGACCATTCAAATAACGACTTATTTGTTAATGTCCATTGTGCTTTTTAGTATATTTTTAATGATATCTACTGCACCAGAACTACTGAAGTTAGAATTTTGAAAATTCTAATTTCTTTTGAATTATCTTTTGCTTTATGGTTTCCTATAAACTTGTAAAACAGAAAGATGAACAATGGGATTCAGAAGAAAATTAATGCCTCCTGAAGTCTTTCCTAAATATCTAAGTTGTGACTTGAATAAACAGAGAATTTCTTTGATAAAACGTAGCATGATTAGGTCTAAATTAGTCATAACTCACATTTACAGCAGACGTTGAACGATAATGTTGCTGTTGATGATGTTGATGGGCACTTTGTTGCTGATACTGTCGATAATCATGCAGTCCTGTTGATGATGCAGCCATCTGCCTTAATCTTGTCTGTCGTGCTAACTCTTGTTCACGTTCCTGTTTTAAACGTTCACGTCTTGCTGAATAACCAGAACGTGCTAAATGTGATGTTGACGACATTTCACGTTTATATGCCAAATCAGATTCTAAAATATAATATTTAATATATGTATGCATGTTATGATCAAGTGAAAATTAGACTGAAAATATTTGTACCTTCAAAGATGTCAACATTTACTGCAACTTACTGTGTGATTATGCAATGACATGGAATGATCTGTTAGGTTTGAATAAAGTTATATATATAATTATGTGTTTACCTCATAATCCTGCAGAACGACAATGATATCGATGTCTAGCATCAAATTTGGATGGTTCTCTAGTCGAAACTTCATCTCAGAGAAAATTCGACTCTGAAAAGACCAATTTTTATCCAAATGGAGGTGTACATTGAGTTGAGTATGCTTATAGTAGAACTTTCAGTGACTTAACAGTTGTCATATTCATTGAAACCATACTTTAGCGTTTATCTATAAACATCCATTTCTTAAGTCACAAATACCTACAAATGCTGCCAAACTGACTCAATGAATTGCAGAATTTAAGGAAATCTACTTTGTGACATAATTAAGGCCCTTAGTCTCTATGTTACCAGTCAAGATATTCGCCAACTATGGATAAAACCAACAGGTAATAGATTTTCGGATATAGATAAAAAGTTCTCAGCTGTGCTCATTAAAATACTTCAGCCCCAGCGTTAATAGACACAGAGCTGTTTGTAATTTACTACATTATTTGTGGAGCCCCGTTTTGCGTATTAACATCAATATTATTCCGATCACTCTCCAGTTAAGCTAGATCGAGACAAAAGCGAGTAGATCAAGGTGTAACCTGAAAGGTTTATGTGGTGGTTGAAGGGACTTCTGAAACTCCTCAGTTACGTCTCTGGTAGGGGGGGTTATGGATATGCAATGTTGAAGAGTATAAAAACGAAGGCGAAACAACCGTTCAGTGCTTTCTACGATTTTCGACAGTTTTTCAGTTTTTGGTGAAATCTGCCCTGAATATCTTCGGCAAAGTTCAGAGATTTACGCCCCATGTACGTATGTCTAAGCCTTTAGGTTTCTTGCTTTCACACTCACAGCGAAAGCAGTGTATCGAATATTGTTGAGATCTTTTATACAAACAATGACGACAATATCTCCATCAGAATGAACACATGTGAAACTATGTCGGAAGCATAGTTAATACAGTCATCCAATGGATTAGAAAGCGAAAACATTATGATCTCTCTGTTACATGATTCGCTTTCCACAAGTTCTACCATGCCGACATAAGGAATAAAGAACTCATTCTTATGTGCACACAAATCCTGTTTGTAAAGTAACTTGAAATATCAGTTACATTTAATTTTTATGGTTAATTATTAATCAAAAATTAAAACTCGCAACTATGTAACTGATATCATATTTCCACAGAATAAGCAATTTTATCTCTAAGATACAACTCAAGTTTCAAGAGAACCTTGTGAACTTAGTACCGTAAGACAGTAAGGAACATAGAATAAATCATTATAGTAAACTGTTGCATGAAAAGGTTTTTCAGTGTAAGAGAACTTATGGGTTTAATCACTTCACTTTATTCCTGTAAATCATTTAGTTGATATTTAGTAAGTTCGAACCTGTTTATTTATTAACCAATCAAAAATACACCTGCAATAAATCAATATACTGGATGAATAGTTGAATTTAACTTTCTCTATAACCAGCTTATAGGTATAGAGATTAGTGTTAAGAAAGTAGATTGAGGTATTGTACTGGCATGATTCTATACACATATATTTACAATCTGGTAATTCATCTCCCGCCCCTCCTCCTTACTCTGTCACTTTTCCACTCTTGCTTTATTATTTTGTCGTCATTTATAAGACAGTTTAACCTAATCACAGAGACAGTGGTTTACATCAAACTTTGTTCAGCTCAGTATAGAGATTTCCTCATCTTAGAACTTATTCTCGAATACGACGAGTAGATTAGATAATTCTTCTGATCAGCTGTATAGTGCAGTGAAAAAGGCAAACGGCTTTTTTCTTTCATCCTAACTAAAACGATGCATATCTGCAAACTAAACACTTAAAGATTTTCTGCTGAATCCCTCCCTATACATGGGTTTAAGTGAATGTTGGCAATTATGAAAACTATGCCAAATAATCAGGATGACATCTACTCAGAAATGGGGGAAATATTTTGTTCATAACCTTATTCTTTTATTTTATTCCTTTACGTTCTCAGTGGAACAAAGGGCTTCAAGCTAGAGGCTTGAAGTTTCGGTAGCAGTGGTTTTTCTTTCACGAGGGGAGTTTGCTAGCCTCATGTCCAGCCTTGCGTCTTTACCGGTCTTATTACTGGTTTAGCGAATTAAAGGAGTGCATCGGCCGGGAATCGAACCCCGGACCAAATGCGCAGTTGGCGAACATTATACCACCTATCCACCGACGCTTTGTTCATAACTTGCCAGTTTATCATTACAGTTTTCAAATACTCAGATTATAGAAAAGCGAAGGGATTTCTGTAGCTTTTATCATCTTTCAAGCTTAAGCTTTAGACCTTCATCAGTAGAAGTCTGTTTCATTAATCAATAACGCTGAAGATGATACATGTACACTGCTGTGAAGATTAACAACTAAGAGGGAAACAATACTATCTATCTAAGGTCTACATATTTTCAATCCGATTAAATTTAATATTAGTAGATAATTTAGGATTATACTGGCAAAAATCTGAACATATATTCCTGAACTAGTGATAACGGTGACCTACATATTGACAGAAATGTTTAATACACAGATGGGGTTTTATCAGTATATAGTTTAGATGTGTTTTTGAAATTACATATATAGTTTTCAATATAGCGAAAACTCAGCATAGAATATCCTTTTCGATAATTTCCTCTTCTGGCTCTACAATTACATCAACTGGTCAGTATACTCATTTTTTCAGCTTAGTACCTTTGAAATATAAACGCAATCTTATAAAGTGCTTGGTCCACAGAGCAAGAGCAATCTGCTCTGATGAATGCCTTAATGAAGAACTTAATATTATTAAACAGTTGCTGAGTGAGAACGGTTATCCAGAAAAATTAATTGATAAGAATATGAATCAAAAATCAATGCAGCCCAAGGTACCAACAGTTCCTAAAAAGGCCTTATTCTTACAACTTCACTTCCTCAGGGATAACATCAGCGAGATATTAACACAACGCCTTAGAAATGCGGCAAAAAGAGCATTCTCTTCTGCTGAATCACGCTGTGTCTTCAAAACCACCCCTATTTTGCGTTCGGGAGTAAAAGATAAACTACCTAATTCCGCCTCTTCCATGTATATCTACCAATTTGACTGCTCCTGTGGAGCCAGTTACATAGGCTGTACAATTAGGTGTGTTTCTCGTGGGATTTCCGAACACCATCCTGCGTGGTTAAGTAAGGGATAAACAAAGTTCATTCATAGCTGTACTCTATCACATCTTGTGGATACAGAACACAAGATTGATGTTAAAGAGGTTTTCAAAGTCATTTACCGCATACCAACAAATCTTAACTTCACCTAAAGAGTTCGTCTACTACATATTGTTGAGGCCGGCTGTTGGGATCCACAATAAGAGGCCTTACTTATGTGTCCAAAAGCAGTTGGTTCAGACATTGTCCTTACCTTGGCCATCACGGTTCTAATGATCCTCAATTTTTTGTGGAAATTTCCTTAATTTCATTTGATATTTGTATGCTTATTATGACTTATGCATCTTTAGGGAACTGTAATTTCACCCATCTTACTTAACAAATCGATATTATTTAAAAAACACCAATATTGTTATTGACTACTATTCTAGAATATTCTATGTATATAAACATAAAAGGATATTCTTTGCTCAATGTTTTGTTTTTTCTAGATATATAGTTTTACTTGGATTTCCATTAGTTTTATTAATTCATCTCAGTTTTAGATAGATTAGTAAACGTGATCTTAATTCTAAAATTTCTTGATCCCATCAACAAGAAGTGCAATAGATGAATGTTGCAAATACAATATCATATACATCTGTTCTATGGGGAATGAAATAATAACTGACAAGCCTACATCTGATATATTATATCAAAGTGTAAGTCAATTAACCTCGTCAGTAATGAGGCAAATCAATACCCTAAACAAGCTTTGATACTTCATCTTGAGTATCGCATCATCATCACCTTTGGTGTCACTTCATTACTGAAGCTCGTACTAAAATTGTTATCGATTTCAGTGATGAAACGTTATCGACCGAACAATTTCTGACCTCATCTAGAACTACAAATCTACTCAATTATTTAAAATATTTAAAAATGATTCTTGATAATATAAAAAACACATGAATTATTGATGTCATAACAATAATAGTAGTACAATAAATGAAAAAACTAACCAGAACCTTGATAAGATCTTAGATTCCAAGATCGTGGAGCACCATAGACATTAGTATGACTCATTGTACGCTTTGGGATTGAGTAGTTAACATCATCTGTGATAATTTGTGATTTGTAAACAGCTTTACGCGAATCAGCACCACCAATGGAAATGTGCAAACACGGTACAGTGAGTGAGTGAGTGATACAGCAACAACAACAAATCCATACACGTGTACACCCACACATATTGAGCCAGCGAGCGAGCGAGCGAGAAACAGCGCGCGCACGCGAGAGAGAGAAAGAGATCAATGAACAAATGAGAAGACGAAATTTGTAAAAATAGAAAACACAAAAACACAAAAAAACTATTAACTTGATGACTTTTACAAAATTTGTGAAGTTATTACCACTGTGAAAAAAGTCTCATTAAATCAAAGTAGTATACAGTGATAAAAATATTTTCTAAATATAAGAGACCCAAAATGAATACATCTATGCAACAGACTATACTTGATCAGTTGTCGCCTACAATGATGAGAATAGTAATTAATGAGCAGTAGAGAATTATGATTGATAACTGCAACAGAAAAATGCACCACAGAGAAACACACACACACAATATAAAGTGTGCCTATGTGTGTCTGTGTGCTTATTGATTGTGCATATTGATTGATGTAGAGTTAATTTGATAAAATTTCCAGTTTTGTTTAGTTAGATGGGTGGGTAAACACGGATGTTGGCATAATTCTACAGGTGTGCATGATTGATTTGCGATTGAAAAATGAAAAATACACAGACGCTCACAGACGCACACACACACACAAACAGATACGCGCCACATAAGACTTCTCCCTTTGGTGTATGTATGTATGTTTGCACAGGAAAGTAAACATATTTTTGCATGACTTCATAAATCTCATCAGTAAAATTCCAGAGAAGTACCGAGTGTGATCTGATGGATTTAACTGTGTCAGTTAGCGTTTGGATCGATATATACTGAGGCAGAATTCACGATGTCTTAGTCTGGAATTTTAAATTTCTAGAATCACGTGATTGAATTAATGATTAGTGTTTTGTGTGCAAATCTGCTGATGATTCTCTTCTGAATAACTTGTTTTTCACAAATGTAGGCAGAGAAATTCCATTTGTTAGACGGCGTAAGCTTGATTCTATAGATTTTTGAGGTATTCTTGTAAAATCAATCTGGTATAGTAGATTTCCGTTTTATTTTTTTACAATTTTGCATTGATTATTGGTTAGGTAAGCAGATAAGTGAGTGTTTTTCATTAAATTAAATTATTGGTCTATGGTGCGATCTGAACCCTACTTGTTGACCGTGTGATTGATTCGTACTGTGAATTTCTGTCAGCTAAATTGTGAACGGATTTAGGATATTTATTTGTGCGCTTTTTGTGGACATCTATGCTTTTTATGTGTTGTAAACGCTTTCAAGCAACTTTAGCTGTAATATATACCTTTTAGAAGTGTGTCATAATATCAACTTATCAGGCCATTACAGGATTTTCATCATGAGCTGACATTAGTTAGAGAACCATTGGAAAACCTGGGAGTACTGGACAGCTTTTTCGTCCTAGTTTGGGACTCTTCATCAGTACGCACCCACCGGGATTCGAACCCAGGACCTTCTGGTTACAAGGTGAGCTCGTATACCTGTAACCAATCAAATCCCTACAAACCAACACTTGATTATCAGGCCATTTTCTGCCACACATCCACAATACTGCATAAACTATGAAAGGTAGATATTTCAGACTGTACATTTTAACCTGAGATGAATTTTAGGAGCTAAACTTCGAGTAACGACGGAGTGGTGGTAAAAGAAAACTATTACATTGGGACAAAACTTCAGATATTCTAGCTGCAGAGGACTGTTTCTACCGAAAAGTCTTCCTGATGATTAAACCTTAACATTGAAGGTCAGTGACATAGCGTACCAGGGCTTCGAGTGTTGAGTCCAAGGGTGACATGGAGGAGATAATATGAGGGGAAAATGAAAGCTCATGGACAGTCGTGCAGCCAGCTTAAAAAGGCCACGGAGAACAGAACAAAGTAAAGACACGTCCTGCCAAAGCTCTCTTATTCCACTCGAAACCCAAGAAGGTGGTAATAATCTACCATCACTATAAAGAGTATCAAAGAGTCACTTGAACTAGCCTAGTGAATGTATTATACGCTTAACAAAACCATTTTTGATCAGGAGTAAAAAGCTTAAAAGTACACCCACCGGTCGCCTAAAAATAACCATCTCGTGTATTAGATATTTTCTTCGAGAAAGTCTATGTTTAGAAGTGACCTATTTTACTGCATCTCTACACCAATCAAATTCTTCGATGATTGAAAATCATCCAATGAAGGGATAAAAGAAGTATTCCTCATAAAAAAAGTAACAGAAAGGGGGAAAAGATTAAAAAGTATAAAGAAATATTTACAAACTGGTTGAAGAAAGAGAACTGTACACATTTTCTGACAATTCATTAGCCTTATCCAAAACATTTGATGCTGGCTGATTTAGAGTTCTTTTCGAGATTGATTCAAGTTCAGCATAACTGGTGATCTGAGTAAAATTTCTTATACATTTTGACACAGGGGATTTGATAGTGTGACTCGCCTGCCCGTCTTAGTAATCAGATGCTAGTTTCTGAGAAATCTACTTGTGTCAAGCAAGAACAACAGTGGTTTGTGCAGAATAATATGGTACCATCATTTATTTCGTAGGCTTCTCATCAGCTGCTTACAGCCTAAATAAATTATGAGGTTTGTGTACAGAAAAGTTTTAACATACTTGCAAATTTTTACATGTTGTCAGTTGACAAAAAGTTCCACAGTAAGTGAACAGTGCTCAGAAAATTGCGCTTATATAGTTTTTACACAGGCAGTTCAAGTTTAAACAAAGTAGATGTATGCATACAATGGTAAGAGTTACGTAATGAAGACGAATTATGCGTTAGATACAGAGTGACAAATAAATTAGGTAACAATGTACTGAGTTCACCTCAAATCATAGAAACAAGAGACAAGCAAAATTACAGATTATAAACGGGGGTGAGGTTAAAGACAAAGATTACGTAATCAGATGAGAGAATAAAGACATTCGGTTACCAGGGCAAGGAAAGATTAATAACTGCTCCTTTCTGAACACATAAATCTGATTTCAAGCGTTTGATAGAGAATGGAATTCCTTTGTCTATTGATAATTTTAAAGGATTTCTCGACTTCTACCTCATGACCCGTGTCGAGATGTCTAGTAATAGCGCTGCTATAAGAGTTTGTTCCCTTGAGACGTAGGCTTTTTGGCACATGTTCAGAAAATCGAAGGTGTGCCCTTCTTTCTGTTCTCCCAATGTAACTGCTCCCGCAGATACACGTAAATTTGTATACACAGTTGGAGTTAACATGAGAAGGGTATCTATCGACTTTTGACTGCACCAAAGAGCATGTTGTTCGATGGACGGGAACCAACTTAGCTGCAGGATAGGCTCTGGTTAGTGATGTTCTCAGTCTTCTGTTGACCATTTCTGCAATGTTTTCACCTTTGAAATCTAGTTGAATGAAGACAGGCTTTTTTCCAACTGTGATTTGTTTGGTATCTAACGCATAATTCGTCTTCATTACGTAACTCTTACCATTGTATGCATACATCTACTTTGTTTAAACTTGAACTGCCTGTGTAAAAACTATATAAGCGCAATTTTCTGAGCACTGTTCACTTACTGTGGAACTTTTTGTCAACTGACAACATGTAAAAATTTGCAAGTATGTTAAAACTTTTCTGTACACAAACCTCATAATTTATTTAGGCTGTAAGCAGCTGATGAGAAGCCTACGAAATAAATGATGGTACCATATTATTCTGCACAAACCACTGTTGTTCTTGCTTTATTCAAATTCATCAAGGGGAATAAATGCATGATTATATTACTATTATTATTTCCTTTAATTCCTAGAGGAACATAGGGCTTCAGCCATGCGTCTCCATTGCGTTCGGTTCTCTGCTGTAGTTTTCACCTGGCTCCAAGTCTGCCCACACGCTTTCAATTCCTCTTCACATGATCTCCTCCAGGTCAAGGAGTGCGTCGGCCGGGGATCGAACCCCGGACCATGTGCATGGTCGGCGAGCGTCCTAACCGCTATACCGCCGACGCACGCATGAAATCTACTTGTATGAATCAACGAATAGCCCTTATGAGCACTGTGACGACTTCAGGGGGTAGATAAACATGGTGTTAACTAAACGTGAGCAGTTTGGCATGATAGTCGGTGAAAAAAAGCGATTTCATAATATCATGTTAACCGATAAGGTGATGTTTCCCCTAGGCTTGTGTGCAGAATTTTGTATATGGAATCTTAAGACAAACCAACTCACGGTTTTTTCGGTTAAATGAACCAATCTCTCTGGTTTTAGACACAGGAGAAACATTATTTTCATGATAATTATAATGATTATTATTATTAAAATTACTACCACTGGTGTAAACAGTAAGTGGGACTTGATGGGTTGACCAGTAAACATCTCCGTTATCTTGTGTTTGTCGTTGTTGTTGTTGTTGTTGGTGGTGGTGATAGTTACTACGCATAGTGTTAGTCAGATTAGTTCCGGTTACACTTGAGGATGTTCTGTATTGTCCTAGGGGTGTATTCACTCTGACTTCTTTATATGAAGGAATCATAATCTCCTGATTTTGTTCTCCTATTGTCCATCCTTCGTCATCTACCACTCTACTCTCATCATATTCAATTTCTTCTTCGTGTATTGTACCAGTAGGTCTACTGTTCTGATCAAGAAATTTTTTATAATTATAATAACTACTAATTGAATTTCTAGACATTATCTGTGATGCTGATTCACTTGAAGAGGATTTACTCTCTAAGTCGAATTGAGTTAACACATTGTTACAGGGATCTGGAAAGCAGTAACGACACTTTGTGTTGTGACAACTTCGTTTCAATCTCAGCGATTGAGGATAATGTGCTACGGTACAGGGATGCTGCTGGAATTGAGGCATGTGCTGATGACTTTCAGTGTTATAGTATACTTCTGAATAATTCGGACGATTTTGATGCAGACTTGGACTGTATTCTACTTTTCTTATATTCTGATTAGATTTCATTTCTTCTTTTGATATTTTTGAGTAACAATGGTACAGCTTTTAATCTTTTTACTGCTGATAATCCGAGGTGAATAAAGACGAGTGTATTTCTGGGTTCCTTTGTTCCACTTGCAGTCAGTAACCGATCATGGGGGACGCACAATGACTTCTAAAACAATTAAAATAAAATAAAAGAGAATAAGGGATTGGTGTTTAATTTGATTAGGAACAAAGTAAGAGAGATAATTTATGAATTAATTCTGCATAACTGCTTTCATAAAACGATATCTCTGAGTGTACAGTGTGGTCCGATAGCTTAAGACATGTAACAAATAACGAAGGTTAATGAAGCCAGGATTGTTAAAATTCATAAATTTTGTTTTACGTGTTATTTCGATACAGTACACACTTGAATATATATATATATATATATACGCTATTACATTTGTATACCCACAAATGAACCGCTTAATCTGCAAAACTACTACCACTAGGAGGGGTAATACAACAGTCAGGATGATTATCACACTGGGAACTGTATTTACTAATTTGAACGTGTATGCTAAAGCAAATGCCTCTTTGCAAGGAAAGGTACAAGCCTAACAAGTATGGCTAACCGTTTCTCCGAATAATTATGACATACTGTAAATAAAGTAGCTGGGTGTTCTATAAAGTAAGATTTAGTGAATTTTTTTGAACATGTTTCTGATAACACCGTAATCATTAGACAACATAGTAAGAAAATGTTTACATTTACAGGATCATATGTGATCCTGCTCATGGGATCATCTGTTTTTGTGCGGTAATAAAGCTTAGTCACCCTAAATGTGTCATGGTGGAAATCGCTATCTATCTAGTTTGGAAGTCAACCTCAGAACTCCTCCAATTTTTTCATCTCTCCACCTATTAACCTCAAGGTAGTTTAGTTTTCGTTCGTTTGTATTATAATGTAATAGCTTTGACTTATGTCATAGGAATATAGTCAAGATTTATCCTGCAATTGCTCTTGTCACTTTATTGAAATAAGTCTTCATATATTTATTCCCCTTTACGAATTTGAATAAAGCAAGAACAGCAGTTTGTGAAGAATGAGGTGGTACTATCACTTATTTCGTTGGCCTGTCATCAGCGTCGTACAGCCTAAAGAATCTAATGAAGGATTTCGCGAAATCCTTTAGAATTATCAGTAGACAAAATAGTTCACTTCTCCTGAAGCTCACCGAAGCAATCGGTATCAGACCCCTGAACCCTGACTTATGTGTTCAGAAAGAAGCAGTTATCAATCTTTCCTTGCTCCGGTAACTAGGTATCTTTATTCTCTCTTTCATTTGGCTACGTAATCCTTGGCTTTAACCTCTTCCCCTATGATATAATGTAACTTTGTTTACCTCTTTTTTCTGTGATCGGAGTTGAACTCACCACATTGTTACTTAATTTATCTGTTACTCATCATCTTACTCACCTCTTGTTTTTATTAAATTTGAAATTTCTGGGTTTAAACTATATTTGCAATTTCTGAGCACTGTTTATGAGGTTTTGAGCCTTTTGTCAACTGACATGATGTAAAATTTGCAAGTATGTTAAAATTGTTCGGTACATAAACTCAGTAATTTCTTTAGGCTGTAAGCAGCTGATGAGAAGCCGACAAAATAAATGGTAGTACCATCTTATTCTGCACAAACTGTTGTTTTCGCTTTATTCAAATGAAATAAGCCTGTACGTTGTACCAGATATGGATAAAAATCTAGAGATTATAAATGCACTACTTATATCCGAGACATTTTGTTACAACTTGCATGGACGGAAGCAGTTAGTAGGGTGTTCTAGGGCTATTTGCAGCCTCTCAGGAACACAACAATCAGCATATCTGACACGATGTATGTTCGGATCTTCGAGGTCACATCGAATGCACCATGTTACCGAGTGTATGTGCACAAGAAGCATAATTCCAGAGCTTCCTGCCTTCATTTGCAATCATCTAAAGTGTGTTCAAAGTGCTCCTTGAGGATGACAATGCAACTTCACTCAGCACTGTTAGCTAAGTAGCATAATATTAGTTAGTAACTGGTTGGTATATCTTCTGACATCGTAATGCTTCGTGTGCCTGAAATTGGCAATACCGTCTTTCAAGATTAATTTTTAATCTGCTTTTAGCATGTTCACTGTGTCCAATAAATTGTAAAGTCTAACTTCAATGTATCGGATTTTTAGATTTCAGATAACCACAATGAATATCCCTTGCATTAATACAAAAAAAAACAAGAATTTATAGGTAAATGATACATGGCCAATTTAACCTCAAGTCTCTGGAGGACGAGAGAGAGAGGCTTTATTCCTGTTTAGTATTTGCACAGAAATTCTCTTACGTCATATAGGAATACTGTACCTCATTGGAGACTTATGACAGTAAATTTTATTAACTACTGCTAATTTTAAGATAACCTTTTTAAGCCGAAATAATCTTGATGTATGAAAAACACCCTCACGTCATTTAGGTCATCTAAATGACACTGCGAATTAGTACAATTTCATACTATTCCATAGTTTGCCGAGGTTCTCAAATACACTGCAGTTTGCCTATTTGAAATAGTACACAGAGATACAGTGTTATTAACTAGATGACGTGTGACACATAAGTTGTAATAAATAGGAAAAATAACCATGAAGATAATCCTAGTATATATTATATGAATGTTAAAACCAACAACTGTGAATAGTACTTTGAACTCACCGGTAATATCGACTTTTGAAATGGTGCTTCCAGTGATTCACTCAGAGATTGTTCCAAGATTCCCGGCCTTTTATGATATGAAAGCAAGTTTCGTAGGCTGATCCCCGTTTGATTTATAGTTGTTATGCAGGCTAGCTGATTTTTATGTACTCATCACTGATAACTAATCCTATTCATCATCAATAGTTGAATTAAGGTAATAATAAACTCGAGAAAGGCTGATAATATTTCTGAGGAGAAGCAGCGTTACATACAATGAACAGAATTTGTAATTCCCGGCTTCATTTGCTTTTCGTTTAAATCACTTGGAAGCTTTTTTTATGTATTTAACATTCCAAAACAATGCACACACAGAGTGTAAAAGAGTTTTAATATAAATAAAATAATCATAAAAAATCAGCAGGAGAATTGTTTAGAGGGAAAGTAAAAATGGAGTAGGAATCGAATAAACTTGGCTACTGAATGTTCAATATACTAGAAATAGGTGACAAGGTCACTTGTTGTTTAGTTATATCATGTAAATGTATGTGTATACATATATGAGTAGTTATGAAGAAATAAATATGTATATATATGCAAAAAAGTATACCTTAGCTATTTAACTAATGTGCCTTTTTGTCACTTCCAACCACCTACATCCAATTGAAACTAAATAGTGGAAATGATTTATGCTAATTGGTTAAGAGTGTGAAAATAATTAAGATATTGATATGTTTTAACACAAATGCTTATATGAAAAAGTTATATTTTTTATGCAAGAACATAAAAGACTCATATTAAAACACAAACAGTAGGAATAAGGTATTTATTTCAGTAAATTTAGTTAGAAAACAGGAAACTGAAAGATAAATGTGAACAGAAAATTACAAAGTGAATGTGTAAGCTTTACGTGGATTCCTGTAATTTACAATTAGAAACAGTCATTTGAGTAAAAAACATTCATTATTAACAGTTACTTTACATTTAATCACAAATTTTCCAGGTGCTGTGTGAACGTGGAACCTGCAATGCGGAGGTTGGAAGTGATTGACCCTTTAGGTTGATTGTAGCACGATGAAGACATTCGTCTGTGTATTTTGATTCTTGCATGCACAAACACAATCTCACACTAAACATTTGTACCCAGTTCTTTACTTTATCTTAGTAACCAAGAGTGACTTTTGGTACCTTTATTTATATGATTAAACGTCTAAATCAACCAAATCCCTACAAACCAATACTTGAATATTAATGAGATGCTCCCTGGCGACTGGCCCTATTCAGGAAGGTAGTTACCTGGGGTTCTAGTGGGAAGTCGTGACCACTACTGTGCAGCAGGTCAGGTGTGAGGACAAATACTCACCGAAGACATTGGCTAGGGGTCGCGCTATGTTGTGAATTGGCAGAAGTTAGAATTCATGGACTGGTCATTGGATGGGGTCCCAGTGCTTTAATGGTATTCGAGCTCGCCTTGTAACCAGAAGGTCCTGGGTTCGAACTCCTTGTGGTGGGTGCGTACTGATGATGAGTCCCAAAGGGCTAGGAGGAAACAGCTGTCCAGTACTTCCAGCTGGTTTTCCAGTGGTTCTCTAACCAATGTCAGCTCATGATGAAATCCTGTAACCAGACTTGCATGACTTATGGCTACGACAGAACTGTTGTCTTTTAGTTTAAAATAATCAGGCATTTTGTTTTGTCGTATTCTGAATCATACAGTGGCAATAGATTCTTAGAATTTTTAGTGAAAGTCTCAATTAAAAATTTTCAAAGTGTCATATATCCTACAGCCAATGTCTCATATTGCAGATGTTTCCACCGTTGTCAGCTGGGGAGCCATCACTGAAGATCAATTAACATTGGGTAACAATCCCGTCTTAGTTCAATGCCACTGGATGAGGTACATCCACGATTATGTCCGTGACCAAAGCCAGGACCATCAAATTGCCAGACAAGTACCTTAACCTTCACTTAGTTGAGTGGATGCTAATAACCCATAGATTCTTCTTTCTATCAATTTGGTCATGTATGAGGTCATGGCCACTCACGGCTGTTAAGTTTTAAACTAGAATGAAACAACTGGTTGACGCACTCAATTTTCCAACGGTACTTTTTCAAATGATTTTGATTTTTTATACAATCTACCTTGAAATGAATGGAATTCTTAAGGCATCAAGGCTTTAATTTTTGAATGATAGACAACAATTGATCTATCTCAACTGGCTATGTATTCATTATCTGTGTTTATAGTGAAATCATTCAGCCTACACTAGACTAATGCACTGATTGTTCTAATGTAATATAAGTCAGTCTGGTCAAAAACATTCGTCTTGTGGATGCATTTGAGACATTCGTCTTAAAATCGTTAATATTATTTTTGAGTTTGACCACGGATTGAAAACCAGGGAGTACTGAACAGCTGTTTCATCCTGGCTCTTTGGGAATCATCGGTAGTACGCACCCACCGACAGAGTTCGAACCCACAACCTACCAGTTACAAGACAAGCTCCTTTACCATTCAACCACTGGGACCCGATTCAATGGCCAGCCCATGGATTCTAACTTCTACCAGTTCTACCAGCGCGACCACCAACCAGTGTCATCGGATCCCAGTGGCTGAAAGATATACGAACTATCCATCACTCCCAGGTTATCCAATGGTTCTCTGACTGATATCAATCCATGGTCAAACTCGAAAAACAAACCGAATCCTTACAAATCAACTCTTGAAAATTATTAATATTAGTCAAATAGTGAAGATTTTTCATTTTGACGAGTTTTTGTGAAGATTAGGCATATATGTAATAGTGGTTTCTGTTTCATTACCATCACTGAAATTCACTATAGTCAGTATTTTGATGTTAATCGGTATAAAGCAACTTTAAGCCCATTTGGGAGTTATTTATTTCAATTTGGATGCAGTGATATATTTTAACTGGATCTCTATGATGAAAAGTAGATGTTTGATAGGTCTTACTTTAGCAGTTTTCTTTAGTAAACTTAATTATACAAAGTGTAGCTTATTCAGATTGTATGAGATATTCAGTGGATGGAACAGTAATCGAATATTTTTATGTGCTGGGTTTTTTGGGATTTGATTGACTTCAGATTAGATCACGAACTGTTGTCATTTTGATGAAAGAAGTCAGATCCCTGCAAATCGACACTTGGGAATTAATCTAATGCTCACTAGTGACTGTCTATAGGATCAAGTAACCAGGAGGTTGAGTGAGAATTCACAACCAGTGAGGTCCACCAAATCGGTTGTGAGAACAAATACTCACCGATGGCATTGACTGGCAGCTACACTACATGTCACGAATCGGTAGTAGTCAGTATTCTTGGTCTACAGAATTTCCCCCTAGTGGCTGCATGGTCAACCCAAATGTTCTAGGACTTGAACTTCCAGGGAGAGGGGCAATAATTGCCTACTGCAAGACAAAACAGCTGTTCAATCCTTCCTGGCCTTCAGTGGTTATCTAACTGATGTCACTTTGTGATCTGATTTGAAGAAACTACAAGTCTAATCTCAGAAATTAACGAACATTCTGCGCTACGCACAGAAAAACACACCCTTTCATTCATATAACTTTTCATCATTATGAGCATTAAATGTCGAAATTTTAGCGCATTCCTTGAAAATAAAAAAGAGAAAATAAAATAACCTTCATCTATGATGGAGGTAACTCTGTCGTCTTTGTGTTTGTATGCATAAAAAGCAATTATACTTATCACAGTGGGTGATTATGATTATTCGGTTAAGGAATAATATGTTTAATATGCAGTCATCTGCATATGTTTACATTTGTGTATGTGCATATGTCTGTCTGTGTGTGTGTGTGTTTATGTATAAAAGCACATCAATGTATGTAGTGTTTACTTATACTGTTACAACAACAGGCATGTGGCTTGAATTTTTTTATGATTTCATCCATATGTGGTGCATAGCGGTTTTAAGACAATACACTGTCTTATGACTTTTTAATCACATTCTCATGACGACTTGTTTTGTTTTAATGAATAATTCAGAAATACATACAAATCAACATAAATGCATACTAGTGTTTATCCGCCTAAAGCTTAAGTCGAAGCTGTGTTATTGAAGATGCTTACTATCATTCAAATAGGCGTGTTTACTTCATAAATCCCCCTGATGAAGATAAAAGTATAATCATTAATTAATCATCATGCTTTCTAGGATATTCTTTATTACAGTGAATCATTACAGCATGATTGCGTTGGAGTCTTGACTGGGAAAGATGTTTTTATGCAATAGAAAGTGCTAATGGTCGAAATGTTTGTTGAGTAGTGTTCGTATCAGTACTAATAGTAGAATTATTTGGAGGAGGAGAAGCAGGACGGGGATAGGTAGAAAAGGAAGATAAGAAGAAGGAGGAGAAGGAGCAGAAGTAATACAAGACAAAAAGAGAAAATATAAACATTCCAGTCAGTTCTTTTTATCAAGTGCTTTTCCCTCTATAGCACTGTGTACCCCAAACACTACTTTAAAGCTTTACACAGATCAAAACTAACTTGAGGAATTCACTCTGTAAAGTGAATGGAAGTTAAAAATGCTTTACATCCATTAACAATACTAATATAATTGATAGTAAGGATGAAAATTTTAAAATATTTTTTGAAGCAAAGATCAAACTTAACTAAAATAAAAGGAAATCTTTATGTCAACTAGGAATGTAGAAAAAGCAAATCAGAAAGTTTCATTTCTTCTCATTACTTTAGTGATTTTCAAAAGTTGATTTGTAAGGATTTGATTTGTTTTTCGAGTTTGACCACGGATTGATATCAGTTAGAGAACCATTGAAAACCAGGGAGTACTGGACAGCTGTTTCATCCTAGTTTTTGGGAATCATCGGCAGTACGCACCCACCAACGGGGTTCGAACCCAGGAATTTCCGGTTACAAGGAAATCTCGTAACCTATTCAGCCACAAGGACCCAATTCAATGGTCCATGAAGGTTCTGCATTCAAAACCCAATGGGTGCGTACCGCCGATGAGTCCCAAACTAGGACGAAACAGCTATCAAGTATTCCCTGGTTTTTAATTGTTCTCTAACTGATGTCAATCCGTGGTCAATCTTTAGTGATTATCTGAGCTCAATTACAGACTACAAAATTGAATAGATTTTTCTGTGCCTCGGAAGGGGCATGTAGAAAGGTGAATAGTATTCGAAATTTTTTTAGATATGAGAATGAGCTATTTTGAACTACTCAAATGTTTTCACCGACTCATTAATCTTGTCAACTAGACTGAAGAATTCAATCTTCTAAACAAAATATACTACTTTAATTGAATTTTAGATTTTCCCGTCGATTGATTGGACCGAAGTGCTCGGTCTCACGTTGACATGTCGGCTTCTTGAGCAGATACTTCGACGATGTCTGGGTATTTAATAAGTATTTAATTGCTGGATGGTGACCGAGCACTACGGTCCAATCAATCGACGGGAAAATCTAAAATTCAATTAAATCAATATGACCCGTTGCACAAGAGGTGGCTCTCGTGGCCCAAGTGGTCTAGTGGATAACGCTTTGGCGTTTGAAACTATGGGCACTGGGTTCGAGCCTCGGTGGGAACATCATCACTCACTGCGGAATGCAGGTACATCCAGATGACGAGTCCCAAATAGGACGAAATGCGTGTTATCCTGGATTCCACTGCTAGTCACCATCCACCAATTAAAATATACTACTCTTTGTGATAACCTTGATGAAATGAATTGGTCAAGTGGTGCTTTAGTGACGCATCAAGATACATTATTCAATCAATCAACTGGTTAATAGGCTTGTTAGACCCTGATCTTTAGCTTGTTGGCACCCACCGAACAAGACACACCTGTTATTCTAAGGAAACTAGTAATTTCCTTCAATAGCGGACATTGTACCACTTTCATTGGTGAAGACAGAGACTTCCCCAACTTTGCTATACAGATTCAAACTGATCAACAACAAAAATCT